GAGGGGCGAGGGGAGAGGGGGGTCTGAGGAGGAAGCTCTCCCTGCCCCACCCGCCGCCGGGCTGCCCGGGGCTCACTTCCAAAGCGCCATTTTCCGGCGCTCCGCCGGGGCGTGGCTGGCGCTGTACATGGCAGACACGTTCCAGCCGGAGCCGAAGAGGTTGACGGACTTGGAGAAGCAGTCGTTGTAGATGAGGCCCGTGTACACCGAGAACAGCCCCATCAGCAGGAGGATGTACCGGCCGTTGAAGAACATGCCCAGGATCTGCGCGGAGAGCAGCGCGGGGAGCACGGGGCGCATGCGGCAGGAGCAGGGAGATGGGTCACGTGACCGAGGCTGGGCCGGGCCCTTCTCAACCACTGCCCTCAGGGCTCTCAGATCTCAGAGACAGGCACTGCAGCCCAGACAGTGTGGCTCAGTGGTTGAGCATTGACCTATGAACCAGGAGGTCACCGTTCCATTCCCAATCAGGGCACAGGCCCGGGTTGTGGGCTTGATCCCGTGTGGGGTGTGCAGGAGGCAGCTGATCGGTGAGTCTCTCTCATCATTGATGTTTCTCTCTCTCTCTCCCGCTTTCTAAAAATCAATAAAGGAAAAAAATTAAAAAACAAAACAAAACCACAACCAAGACGCTGTCACAGAGGTCCCTGTCACAGAGGCAACCCCACATCAGGTCTCAGCCAGGCCGTACAGTTACTGCCAAGCCCCGACCAGCACTCAGGAAACGGCATGTTGGTCCCAGGAAGAGAACCACGACTCCGGCTGCCCAATCAGAAGGCCGCGCGGCGGGGGCAGCGGCTACTTACCTCCTGTGACTGACTCAGCCTCGGGTGGTTTTCATTTAACACCAACAGGAGGGCAAACAAGAACATCACGAAGCCGTGTCCGAAGTCCCCGAACATCACGGCGAACAGGAAGGGGAAAGTGATGATGCTGAAGAGAGCTGCAGGGCAGGAGAGCTGGCTCAGGGCCGGGCAGCCCGAGGGAGGGCGGGCGGGAAGCCACGCAGGACAGCGCAGTGGGGCCTGCTTCCCGCACGCGGCCCACGTCAGACGCGCACACGCAGGGTCCCACCTGGGTTCACCTCCCGGTAGCTGCCCACGCCGTAGGCGTCCACGATGTTCTGAAAGCCCTCGGTGAACTTGTTGGTGCGGATCAGGGTGGGGGGCGTTTCTGTCGTCGGGATCGTGTTCATAAACGAGGTGATGGTAGCACCGCTCTCTCTCTTTTGCATGAAAAAGAATAAAAATAAAAAAGACTGTCCAAGAGCCTTTTCAACACACTGCTTCCTGCCAGCGAGGCTCTGTGGGCTCCGGGGGAAAGTACTGATCGCACCGCCAGGTTCAAGGACAGGCTCAAGGATAGCAGAAGCAGGAACGGGGCGGGGTCCAGCGGAGCCGGGCCGAGTGGGTGGGGACATGGAGGGAGGAGCTGGAGGGACTCCTCCAGGCAGAGATATACTAGGGAGTCCCAGGATCACCAGGAAAACTGGAATTTAGTCTTTTATCTTTTAAAAATGTTCAAGAGGCAGATCAACCAAAGGCCCTTCTGCATATCTGCATCACCCATGGACACAGGCAATACGGTGGTGGAGGCCTGGGGCGGGGCGGGGCGGGGCCGGACTAGAGGGGTCAATGGGGGAAAGGGACATATGTGACACTTCCAAAAATAAAGATTTTAAAAAGATAAAAATTAAAACTAGTATAACATTCAGGAGGCATTCAGAGGCAGCTCCGCCAGCTAATAAACTGAAATCCCGCGTCACTGGCCAGCGGCCACGGGTAGCCCTGCGTGCAGCGTCACCTCCTGAGACACATCCACTGACGGATGGGGAGGGGCCTTCCCAATCCAGAGCTCGGGTTGGGACCAGAAGGGCAGGTTTCCAGCCAAACTCTATTTCCCGAGACACAGGGCCGGGTCCTGGGAGAGCTGCTGCCATGGCACAGCGTGAACCTCCGAGTCCCCTCAAGGGCAGGCAGTGCAACTGACAGCAAAACTGAGACCCACCAACACGCTCATAACAAAGCCACAGCCCCGAGACCACAGAACACCACCGTGTGGGACACGCCCCTGAACTCCCAGCCAGCTCCCGGCCGTGTGGAGGCGGAGGAGCAGTGGTGGCGGCGAGCCGAGCTCCCGTGGGCTCCGGTCGTCGGGCACCTTACCGAGCCGTCCTCCAGCGCACGGCGCAGGCCCGGCAGGTCGGCCTCGGGGCACCAGACCTCGGCGATGAGGCACTTGTTGGTCACGTCGAGGCTACACATGTTGAGCATGTGGTAGATGGCTTTCATCTTCTTCACCTGGACGGCGCGGCTGTACACCGACTCGGCCGCCTTGCACAGCACCTGCCTGAGGTAGTCCTCGGTTTTGTGCAGCACCTGGGGGAGGAGCGCGGCTGTGGGCGGGCGGGCAGCGCTCAGCTCGGCCCAAGTCCCACGGAGGGAGGCTGAATGCCCGGCACCTGCTGCCTGGAGACAGGTGAGCGAGCCTTCACTCCGCTCCTCCTCTTCCCCCTTCTCCTCCTCTTCCTCCTCTGGGACCCCGGGACCCCATGAGGCAGGTGGAGACCTGAGCTCAGCCCTTCCGATGCCCGTGGAGCTGCCTCTCCAGGAGAGGAGCCAGGGCCAAAGGAGAGAGTCTGAGGTCACAGCCACTGGGGCAGCACCAGGCCTGCCCGGTGCAGGGACCTCCGGGTTCTCACACATCCCCCATCCCGCCCCGCCAGGAAGCCCCTGGCGCTTTAGTGGGTCACAGCCCGAGGGCCCTCCCTGCCCTGAGCAGAAACGGGACCCGAGAGCCACACTCGGAGCAGTGATGAAGACTGCGCCGACACGGCAAGGCGACCTCCCATGTAAGGCCGACACTAGCGAGGTCCCAGAGGCTATAAGACAACACGCCGCGACGGGAGAGGCGGCCTTCCAGCCCCTGGACACCGCCACGTGCCCCGTCCAACCGGACAGGAGAGCGGCCGGGTCTGTGCGTGTCCCAGCCTTGGTGGGTGGCAGGGCCAGGCCACGCACCGTGTACAGGTCCTGGATGCGGGTGCTCAGCCCCTCCTGGATCTCACGGCGCTCCTCGGCGGTGCTGGGGTACGGGTAGATGTGGCAGTGGTAACTGCAAGACAGAGTTCCCCGCCGTCAGGACCCGGAGGGGCTGGAGGAACTCTGGAGCGAACCTCAGAAGGAGAAGCTGCCCAGGGCTCCACCGAACACAGGCAAGTCCATGTGCGGCTCAAAACACTCCAACTTGATTCCTTTTCCAATTGATCTTTTTAGAAAATGTTTTTAAATGATTTTAAATGTTTTTTCAAATGATCTTAGAAAGAGAGGAAGGGAGAAGGAGAGATAGAACCATCAATGATGAGAGAGAAGAATGGACCGGCTGCCTCCTGCACGCCCCACAATGGGGATGAGCCCACAGCCCGGGCCTGTGCCCGGACCGGGCATCGAACGTGACCTCCTGGTTCCTAGGTCCACGCTCAACCCCTGAGCCACGCCGGCCGGGCCAATTGATCTTTTAAGCCTTGATTTCTAAAACACACACAAATCTGGGAATGGCACTAACATGGTTTCTACTTTGAAGTTATTTTAAGAATTGCCCTGGCAAGAGTTACCTAACCATTAAATGTTTAAAAATGTAGCATTTCAGCAAAGACGTCGCATGACAACCCCCAGCAGCCTCGGCGCCCGCTGCCATGCCTGCGTGTGGGGGAGCAGGACGGGAGGCCGTTCTCACCAGTCACAGATCTTCTTCACCTTGTGGCCGATCTGCTCGCCCCAGAAGGAGATGAGGAACACGTGCCACTTGATGACTTCTCCCTGCGGGGAAGGCACCCTTACTTCCGGGGCTGCAGCGTGCACCGCTCTGGCGGCTCAGCCGCTGTCCGTCCTGTCACTCATTCCCCCAACCCGCGCGCCGACCTCCTTCCTGCGAGGCCGCAACGGCAAGTTCACCGCGAAAAGCATTCCCAACCCCAAACCACGGCCAGGCATATTTTTGGTCATTTTCGGGCAAGCAGAGCGACCAAAACCTGAGCCCCGCGTGCACGTCCCCTCTGCCTCGCTCCACCTCAAACTGCAAGCGAGCGTCCTTGGCTTGGCCTATTCCGGGCACGGTCTGTGCTCTCGGGTGGTGGCTTCGCTGCTGAAATGGCCCGAGCGCAGTGCTGACGCGGGGACACACCTCTCAGAAAACCTCACGGGCTCCGAGGCCTGGAGGGGGCAGTGTCCACCTGGGTCAGCTGTGCTGTGGCCGTGGGAGGAGGCCCTGAAATCTCCGAGGAGGAGGGGCGGGGAGTAGTCCCCCGGGGTCCTCCTGCGCTGTGCCCAGCCGCTGCGGGCCTGGGCTGGCCGAAGTCGACCGTGCCGCCCACTCACCGTTTCCGGATCCTCGAGGGACTCATCCAGCTCTGCGTAGGTCACGATGGTGTACCCCTTGCAGACCCTCCACAGCATCCTCTCAAACGCTTCCACCTTCCCCTGATGGATGAGGCCGGACACGAATCTAGGAGGAATGCAGACCGCCGGGCAGCGGAGGGCAGCGGCTCTCACCCAGCACAGCACCCGGGCGACGAGCACGCCATTCTGGCCCCGGGGAAGGGGGCCTCTGACTGCCGGACCCTAACATGCGGTGAGAAGGCCCTGAGCATCCTTTCCAGGCGGAGCCGAGCCCAGACTCAGGACATCCCGGAACAG